CATCTCTTCCTTGTTTCATCAAAACTCGATCTAAAATATACACATATATGGACATTTTGTCATTTGACACTTTTTGACTTTATTTTTGTAATGAATACAAAAATAAAGTCAGTTAGTGCAGCTTTAAGCACGAGGCTCTGGCGTGCAGCATCTATCGGCAGCTCCGAATTGTGCGTTATTGACAAAAAGTAAGTTCATAATAATTAGAGTGGCATGGACACTACATGAGCCATTTGCCATCATGTTTGGAATGTCTATATGTTCATCTTGTGTTATTATATTTATCACAGTTTGAGTTTTGTGCCTAATAAGACAGTTAGCTCGTGTGCTAATATTGTTCACAGACACGTGTTGCGCCACGTGCTTCCATTATATTATGTTATTTGGTTTTCAGCTCAGTAAGCCCTTATGGCACAAATACACTGTATTATTCGCCATTTCCCTGTTATAAGTAATTATTAGATTAGCTCAGAAGTGCATTTAATCATACTGTTTATTTCTTTATAGACCACACACACACTACGTATGGTTCCTATTCTGCTGATTGAGCTTCATTAAAGACAGATAAAGTAACATCCGCATCCTGTCTTCTGTGGATATCAGACCTACACCTACAGTATACAGTCCTTTTAATCCTGAGATAGTACTCTCGAATATGTGCTTTCTGGAAAACAATAAATGTTTACGTTTAGGGACTCTTGCAATCATCACACTTTTTCTGTTACAATCTGACCCGGCCCCCATCGAAGAAGGGAAAAGTTATGTGGCCCTCACAGGAAAAAGTTTGGGGACCCCTGGTATAAAGGCTTGATTCGGAGGCTCTGCGAAAACAAACAACTGAGCATGCGCGCAGCTATGAGCATCAGCGCGATGATTGACAGCCCTTGGCATCACTTGATTGGTTAACGTGGACGGCATCGTGGATTTTGAGCTATAGCTAAGAGAAGAGAAGGTGGGACTTAACTGTACTATTAGAATTAATAAAATGACTTACTTTATATCAACAATTAAGGCCAGGAGGTCAATTTCATAAAATTCTTAAAATGTGTTATTCATTTAGAGTTCCAGACTATCACTTTAAGAGATGAATGTGCTCAAAATATGAAAAAAAAAAAAAAACGCAATTACAGCAATATTTTATCACTTCTTGTAGCGCAGACATAAAAAATTCAACCCAAAATGCAGTCATACTGTAACCCTTGAGGCAGATTCTACATTCCTACCTCTTAAGCAGACCTCCCATTACTCTTTAACTAGTCAAACCAAGTGGCTCTTCTGGTGTGAGCAGCGGCAACAGCGGTGGGAGCCCTAATGATCCCGTGGTCACTCTGAAGTCCACTCTAATGGGCACAAGTGTGATAACGGCCCCCGTCCAGCGCCCGCCTGACAGCCGCCACAGCTCAGCTCAGAGAGACCGCTCCATCACGCCCTCACACACGCAGCCTACACCTCACATGATTAGTGAGCAGAGAGGAAGCCGGCGAGAGGAGACCAGGGCTGCAAAAAATACATGTGTGAAAGAAGTGTTTTTTATGCCGTGAGTTGATTATGTTATTGTCTTTGAATATGTTTTGGGAGTTAAACGATCGTAGATTGTTAATTGGGGATCCTTGTTAGCTTCCACTGATGCGGTTGCTAATCTTCCTGGGGTCACAGTTAAGACGAGCATATTACAAAATAAATAAATACAAATACAGTCAAAATAAGTAGATCTACATTTCTTGCTTGGAATTCGAATTGTATTTAAAAGAAAAAACCCTAAAATGACTTCAATGACAATTATTAAAAAAAGAAAATGGTATTTTTTTATTGCTAATCAATATTTAATTGATAACTAATGAACATTTTTCAGTCTATAAGTAAGTATGTTTTAAAATAAAAAATATCTCGAGCTCAATCACACAAGGTCGGAGCCACGACCAACCCTTGTGAATAAACCAACATTAAAAGACGGTGCTGTGTTGTGTACAGACGGTGTAAATAAGCGGAGAGAGAGATGGGAGCCTTGGCACCAGCTGTGCAGCCAGTGTGCCTCTGTTAGTATGCCCCAGGGCAGCCATGACTGGACAATATAGGAAAGTATAAAAGGTTCTGTGCAGCACTACATGAATAAAATGTTTCAATTTTCTACAGTATCTCCCTCGTGCGCACTGCAAGCTACCGTCATTATGATTGAATGTTATTTATGTATAATTAGTGTTTTTTAATTTATATCTAGCTGCAACAAGTGAAACATAAAATCTGCTCTTTATTAAACTTTTTATGAGAACACTATATATCAGGTATTAGTGTACTGGGTATACAGTATCATTGATTCATTGATAATTACAGCTCTTCTGCTCAGAATGGTTCCACGAAAACGTCTCCTGTAGCAGATAAAGAACCAGCACAAAAACGGAACTCTTTCTTTACTCTCGGAATGTTTTGAGAATATTCAAAAAGACGCCGACCAACTCAAAACAGCCTTCTCACTATAGTCCATCAATATCACTCATTTTCTTTGCGCCTATCTTCGCGCCCCAAACCTCCGTGGGGGCCCAGAGAGCCTTCGCGATCGTTCTTTTCCCCCCCGACCGCTCAGAGACAATCAGATCTGGCCCTGATGATCACCAACACACATTGGTTCTCTGTCCGACAGAATGAAATAGCGTTCGTTGAAAGGAAACATGCTCATCAGTTTCCCAGTGCGGCTAACGCAATAGAGCCGTGGGTTATTGTTGGGGGATATTTTTCATCCCAGGTGCGACGACGGCGAGCCATGGGGAAAATCATCCTCGATTGTTGCCGTCGCGTGTGTGTTGTGTGTCGATTTCTCAGAAGAGGATAATTAATTTGTTGCGCAGTGGGAGAGCGAAAAAGACTCACCCATTAGAAGCACGGCGACTGCTTTTGTCCCTCTAATAGGTGAGAGAGGCTGGTGGCAGACTGAGGCTCTGATTGTGCTGGGGGAGGGGGTGAGGGGAGGGGGGCACTAAAGACACATGTGTTGGGTAAAATATTTTGAAAATGTGTCCCGTTTCAGAATACTGAATACATGACCTAAAATGTATTTTGTACAGTACAGTAGTGACCTGTATTCTGAATACTTAGAATTTTTTTATTTATTCTTTTTGAGCAGATCACATGAAAAAATGATAACAAATGTAATAAAAGTACAGGAATTAGAAAACTTGTGGCTTGAAAAGGAGTGGGAAGAAGAAAACTTATTGAATCCCACCCCTATTGTCCATTGCTACGTTACAATATATAACTTAACTTTCACTTCATTTCCAGGAAATAAAAAAAATAAAATAAATAAAAACACAAATACGCAACATATTCTCAATGCAACAAAATTCATCACATCTTCTTAACTTAAATACTTTTTCATTTGTAAACTACTTTTGCTTTAAGACAAAACTAGTATGCAGGGATCAAGAGTTCCAGCTTCCGGCTCGACCGCACGGCCTTGTGGGTAGTTTTCTCAAAAAAGCGGGCATCAAATCACGCTCTCCAATTAGATTACCTGTTGCGAGCGTGATCTGTCTCTTTTTTCCAGCCCATCGATTGTTTTAATTGTTATAAAAATCACCAATTTCAGACATTTAGAAGGTAAAGATTTTTTCATGTAACAAAAAAGCAATGAATTTATTTTCTTGTGGTTTTAGATGTAAACACAACCGACTGACGACAGAGCTACACGCAGCTTATGCTACTTACGAGGATCGAATGCTTACACGCGAGCTTTATAAACTTACCCAAAGCTGTACTTTGGACATAGAGCCGTCAGAGCGTTTCTAATTGGAGAGCGTGATTTGATGCCCACTTTTTTGAGAAAACTACCCACAATGCCGTGCGGTTGAGCCGGAAGCTCAGAACTCTTGATCCTTGTATGCTGTTATTTGTTACTTTTAATGATTATTATTGTTATTATTTATATTTCTTGTAAATGAATGTTTATCGATACATGTTTGAATAAACAAAACATGTACTTGTTGTTTATTTTCGTGAGACAAGTCAAAGTTCTTCAACAGCTGCCATTTAACAACCAGAAGAAAAAGAATCTTCACTTAAAGTGGTTCTCACCCCCGCTCCTCGGAGCTTACGTTACTCACATTTCCTGTTCAAATCTTCCTCTAAATGGGCGTAGCCTGGAGGACTAAAGGGGGCGTGAACGAGACTGGGCCGTTTACATTGCTCTGGGCGGGGGGCTGCTGACGTCAGGTCCAACTTGCAGACGTCAGGTCCAACTTCTGTGCCAGTGTTGGCGCCAGATTCAAAATTCAAATGTAGTAATACAGGTCGCCAGCAGATGGCGCCTCACAGACGGTTTTAGGCAGAAAGTTTAACTTTCAACTAATTTGCACCAAAGTGACAAGATTATGACCAGGATATGTAGACAACACTATTGGACACTCATTTATACCGTTTATCAGCAAAAAAAAGTGGATTTGAGGGTGAGTTGTCCTTTAAGGAATATGCAACGTTTTCTTATTTTAACCTTAAAACATCATGTGAAAAGCAGTGATGTCCAACTCTGTCAGTGACACAGCAGTGTTCCTGATTGGTTAATGCCACAGGTTAGTTTTTATTTACTTTAGCTACTGTGGACAACCAATGTCAAGTCTGAAGGCCTAGAGGCAGATTTTGGGCCATAGCAACACATGACGCCGAGCAATAATTGGATGAAAACTCTGTTAGACGCCAGACCTGCCAAATGTCAACCTGGAGTCGGAAGCTGCACAACCAATGAAGTTTGTGGAATAATATATATAGAAACAAAAAATATATTTATAAAAATATATATTATACATATACAATAGGGCTGTTTAACAATAAAAATTTTAACTCACTGACTGCCAGGCATTTTCAGATTTGAGAAGTGCGTTCTGCCAGCAATTTCAGGTGATTTGACCCAAATTTGAAGTGCCACAGAATATTCATTTTTTAGACAATGTAAACACCAAGGGCACCAAATTAAAGATTAACCTCTCTGCTTTACTCTGAAAAAAACAGTTTGTTTCTACCTCTTACCGTTCTTGAGCTATTCGCCATAGAACAAAGCATACTTTCACCCACAACACCTGGTCTGAGCAAGAAAACAGAGAAAAGGAGCTGTATGTAAACAGGAACATATCAAGCAGAAAAGAGACTTTTAGATGCATTTTTGCTGCTTTAGTGACAACTCAAAACATCTTCACACTTGTTCCATTACAAAATTATAAAAACATGACTCTGAAATAATACTTTTGATGGCAAATTGTTGGCAATTTATTCACAGATAGAAAATTTAACTTTCTTCCATTCCATCAACCAAAACGTCAAACAACAACAACACAAAGATCCATAAAACTATAGATGTATAAAATAGAATGACGCGTGTGAATTTGAGTGTGTGTGTGTGAATGTCAGTGTGCGAGTGAGTGCGTGTGTGTCTGTGTGCGCGTGAGTGAGTGCGTGTGTGTGTGCGTGTGAGTGTTTGTGAGTGTGTGTATGAGTGAGTTCATCTGCTTTTTCAGTCCTCCCAGTAGTTCAGCTTTGAGTTGTAGAGGTTGAAACACTGTGTGCAACGGAACACGACACGCTGTGTACCATTTGTAGTTCTCCCTCCGTGAAGAAGAGCTCCAGAAAGTCTGGATCAGATGAATCCAGCTCCAGAAAGTCTGGATCAGATGAATCCAGCTCCAGAAAGTCTGGATCAGATGAATCCAGCTCCAGAAAGTCTGGATCAGATGAATCCAGCTCCAGAAAGTCTGGATCAGATGAATCCAGCTCCAGAAAGTCAGCTGGATCAGATGAATCCAGCTCCAGAAAGTCTGGATCAGATGAATCCAGCTCCAGAAAGTCAGCTGGATCAGATGAATCCAGCTTCGCAGCCTCTGTCCGCAGTCTCTGAGGTCCAGCAGCTCCTGTGAAGAGCAACTGACTCGGCTCCCACTGATCCTCCTGTCAGCCATCTTCCCCAGAGCTTCTGGGTGACGAACGTGCTGGAAAATGGATACACACAATAACTATATTATACAGTGAATTTGTTACAATAAATCAATACATAAAATACAATGAAGGCCTTCCTCCCACATTATTGACTGACTACTTTTGGACCAAACAAGTATACTATATTATTATTATATTATATTGCCATGGGATGTACAAGAATAGAAATAGTTTTTACCTTTTTTGTGCACAGCAACTGCCTCTTGATGCACCACCTGTAAATAATATAAATTTGTAAATCACTATACCAGGAGAATATATACAAAAATA